ATATGTCTTGGAACTGGGATATTAGAGGATCCTCTCCCCTCCATCTACTGTACATAAAACAGTCTTGCTGGAGCTCTGCTTTGTCAAAGTCGTAAATCAAGGAAATATGTTTTGTACATTGATATCTTATATTTGTGTTGGTATCTTGGCAACAGTGTTCAAACATGGAAGTTGTTCGTATTTATATCTAGCCAGATATTTTATTACATCAAATGGCAGCTTTATTTGCTTTATTTAACGCAAGTAGAATAAATGTGGATAGTTTATCCCATGTGCATATCTCATGTTTGTTTCTTTGCCCATGGAAAGAAAAGTCCATAAATCGGGGACATAAAAGTACAAAACATTTTTTTAATACCATATTATATTTTCCATTTTTGGAATTACAAGAATAGAGACGACGTGAAGTTGGCATGCACAATGCAAAGTGGAATTTATATCTAAGAGTTACATAATCAGCACTTCAGCTGGAATGGCCTTGTAATCTTGTGCGTGGTGCAATGCAGCCAGAAAAGTGATGCTTACATCAAAATATAAAAACAACTTGATTGGCGTTTGTAATGAAAAGAAACTGGATTCTGAAATATCACATGGCTGGTGCAACCCACTTCCGTGCTTTATGAATAAACACAGCAGTGTACATCTTATTATGTCAGGAAACCAGGGATGTTACCTCTCCTCGGGGCCAATGGGTACGGTGCAGGGCACAGGGTCTCCTCCAGCCTGGTAGAACTCCTGGCGCCGGGGTTGCAGGTGCGCATGCGCGAAATGCGCAGTGGATGCGCGCACGGTACACAGGCCGCCCTGCGTAGCGCGCCTGCGCCCATTAGGACTATCAGGTGGGGGCGCTGGGAGAGGTTCCCAGCACGCACTTTCCATCCCTCTCGCCTCCCATTGGTTCCCAGGGAGGGAAGCCTCCTGGTTGCCCCGGTAACCAGGGGGTGGTCTTACATCCCCTGGCTATAAAATCCTGGTCAGAGCACTATAATTATAGTTGCAAGTTTTTACAAAAATATTCACCTTCAATCCAGAGATTCCCCGTGCAATAATTTTTTCTCCCACTAGATGTCCTCAGTCTGATGGCCATCATCATTCAACCCATTTCCTTGAGCCCAGGTTAACCCGGGACCCACCCCAGCCTGTTACTGAACAGTGCAAGCAGAAGCAGCATGGTTATAAACTCATCTCTCTGTCACTCTGCTTTCTCCTCCTATTAGCATGCTCCTTGTCAGCACATGACTATTGGCTTTACACTTGAAGCGATTCTGGCGGCTCAGCTGCCGCCAGATCGTTTCTACAGGCCGGTAAAGGCCCCCCGACACCCCCACCGTGTTTCCTGGGCTCTGCTGCCCTCCTACGGGCCTAGGACCAGCTTCTCTGGTGTCGAGGGGAAGCTAGGGAGGAGATCGGCGAACCTCTGTTCACCGATCTCCTCCCCATACTTTGGGACCGGGAGCGCAGCAATAAGCTATTGAAGTGCGATCTGCACTTTAATATCTTATTTCAAGTATAAAGGTGATACTAGGGGTCTTTTGGCCCCCCAGTATCACCTTAAAAAGTACCTGTCACTGCCAATATGCTATCACATAGGGAGCTTGTAAGCCCCCCTATGTGATAGCAATTAAAGTAAAGTTTAAGAAAAAACTGTTTTTAAAATTAATATTAAATGAAATAAACATAAAAGCGTCGGGTGCACCTAAGTATGGAAAACAAAGATTGCGCTACACAAACAAAGATTGCGCCGGGCACGCCGGAGTAAGAGCAATAATTCTAGGGCCAATATTTATGCGTATCTCTAAACTGATGACCTGTGGGGGCTCTTAAAGCATCATCTATGGACTTTTTGGGGTACTGAATTTTGTCGCAGTTTCACGGACGCACACAATTTTTAACCTGGGCATGTTATGTATCTATTTACTTCTTGCAAATTGGGTATTTTATTGTGTTTTGGGGCATTTAAGTGCATTTTTCACAAAATTTTGGAGGTTTGATATAGAGTTGCGCTAATATCTTGCAACATAAAAATTTGCAACTGCCACCATTTTATTCTATAGGGTCTTGGCTTTCAGAAAATATATAATGTTTGGGAGTTTTAAGTAATTTTCAGGCCTAAAATGTGGACTAAGAAAAAAATTAAGGGGTTAAAGCTTAAAACTAAAAGCTAAATCTAAACAGAACTTAAGCTCTTGCAGCAAGTAATACCTGAGTGTCATCTAACAGAGGATGGTTTTAAACAGTGAGCCTATCTGGACAACATAAAATCAAACAAAAGAATGTTAGCGGTTTATATACTGTACTTTTGCCGCACACAAATATGTAACTTTGGGTCAAGGGCTTTAGGTGGGGTCATTTTTGAAACATTATACTATTGCTGTATATTGTGACATGAATGTATTCTTGCAAATTTAAAAAGTTACTGAAAGGTCCACTTTAAGCAGATCATCCTTCTCGGCTCCATCATTTTCTCAGGTTGTCTGGTGACGATATCTCAGTACCTTTAATGGTGATAGCTCTTACCTTTTCACCCAGGTCTGCCCAGTGACTAAAGAAGCAAGAGGGGAAAAGATGTATGTTTCAGTGAAGCACAAAAAGAGAAAAAGTGACCAGGAAATTTCTGCAGATTTGCAGAATTTTCAGATGCTGATCCTGGACAGCTATGGATTGTTTCCTGTCTGGATTCCGTTTTTATAGGTAATGATTCTGGATAGCGGAGTGGAATGTTCAAATGACAGGCTGGAGCTATGCTCAGAATGTATCCTATGTTGCTACCATTTGGCTTCCACTGGCTAAAGTGAAAACAAAGAAAATGACTTCTAAAAATTACTATTAAAAAATAGTTAAAAAGAGGACAAATGAACACAAAATGATTGAATAATATGTTCATAAACATTTTCTACCAAAAGTCAAATTTCAAATAAAAATATTAAGCGAATAATAATTTTTGTTTTAGATTTTTTTTTGCACAGACAAAGAAGCCAATGTGAAAATTATATAATGAAATGTAATCCTTTATATAACTCTTAATGTCTGATAACTGTAACATTATTACTGCAATGATTGGCATATGTTCTTATGGTAAAAGTGAATAGTATGACTTTGCATTATCCCTTTTCTGGAAATGTTGTTAGTGCAATGAGTCATTAGACTTGCAGTGAAGAGGTTAACAAGAAAGCATCCTTACGTGTGGTATGGGAGCACTTCCAGCTCGCAGACTGCGAACACTGGGAGGAGACAAAATTTGCAGCCAGATAGGATTGCTTACCAAAAAAACTTCCTAGAGCTGTCAGAAAAAACGTGGGTTAGAGCTACAAAGGAGTTGTATAAGTACACACTCTGGGAAACACTACGCAAGGCTCTTCTTTGGCAGTGTATCTCTCAGCTATGAGGAGGAGCTCAGTCTTTCATTGCACTGGAATCAATTTTAGCATGGCAATGAACATGGTTCTGGGGTTGATTACACACTGCCTTTTGTTGACCTTGGTAAACCCAGTGGTGGGGTCTCACCTGAAAGGGATGGAAATCAATGACAAACGTCACCACAAAATCCAGCATGGACACTGCAGCTACACCTTTCTTTTGCCTGAGATAGAAAACTGTTATCCACCCCCAGCTGACTACCAGGTATCCAATTCATTACAGAGGGATGCGCCTGCACAGGCTGACCTCCACTGGCCCAGCAAGAGGATAGAGGAGCTAGAGAGCATCATGGAGAACAATACACAGTGGCTTCACAAGGTAAAAGCACTACAATAATGAGTAAATGCTATAGTTGCTGTTTTTTCAGTCTTCTTACCGGGCTTGCTCCATAATCTTAGTTTTGTTTAGCTTTTTCATGTTTTAAAAATCAGCAGCCCTAGGTCCTAGGTCCAAATTCTTTCATTTTCCAGTTTGTACTAAAAAATACAACTGCTGTTGCACACTATATATATATTGGTATTTTGTATTTTAGTGTGGAACAGGGTTTTGGTATGGCACAACCCTCTTCCACTGACAGTTCATAATCGAACATATGACCTATTCCATTACATGTCATACTCTTAAAGCATATGTAAAGCTATAACTTTTTCTTTTAGATTAGGGAAGGGTTAAAATCTCTATCAGGTTATTTTTTTGATGCCTGTGTTTTGCTGGGTAGATCTTCTTTTCTGTTCTACAGACGAAACAGCAAGTCAGAGGAAAGCTGTCGAAAGTGAACAGAATTGTAATCTTAGTGAGTTGTCACAGGAAGTGTCCCTATTGGAGAACCTTCCCTCCCTCTTGCTCTAGTGACAACTCAAACATTTTTGAGAGGTGTATCTCCCCAGTGGAGACACACAGCCATAAAAAAATTGGCAAAGGGTCTAACCCTTCCCCACACCATCTAGAACTAAAAAGAAAAATATTTTTGCCTTTATATACACTTTAACTTGAAACTATGAACAGTTTTGGCAATAGTGTCATTTTATTCCAATCTTATTATAGATGTGTCACATCAAAGAATCCCCAAAGCAGTTCCCAGTAATAGAAGAGTTAATATACAGTACTTACCTTTTTGGCTGCCCGTGTCACTTATCTATGCTTCATGTAAGCGCTGCGGCCTCCATCAAGATCTTCAGCATTCAACGTTTTCAGGAGCCTCAGATGTCTGTGTCCTCTACGAAGCTCTATTATTCCATCCTCCAACCCCTATGTTATTACAGGACACAGCAGTGACACAGGGATTGGAGGATAGGACTACAAAACGCCATGGGGGACGCAGGCATCTGATTCTCCAAGAAGTGTTGCATGCTGAAGATACTGACGGAGGATGGAACGGAGATAGTAGACACAAGCCCCCAAAGAGATAAGCATAATACCTCTTCTATTACAGGGAATAACGTAACACGTTATCACAAAAAAGCTGCAGGAAATACAGGAACAGTTTTTCTCAGCATCAGCCAGTCAGTTTATTATAAAGTCCACTCTAGAAACTGAGGGCTAATTCCAGATTGTTACTATGGACAAGGGACCCGTTCTTTAGCTCCAGTTTTGATAAATTAGGCTCGTTGACAATTAATGTAATGAATGTGTAGCAACATTCATATATTATATTACATGTCATAATTTAACACAGTCTAACTAATAAATGAGAAGGGGTGCCTTTGAGGTCTTAATAATGTACAAAGAGATTAAGTGGGAAGCAGGCACAGCAACCATTAAGTGTTAGCTGTGATTTTTCTAACTCGTCAGAAAAATAAATGTAATATTATTATAACATTAGCTGATTAACATTACTTAATAATGCTCAAAGAACATTAGTAAAGTTTATTCAATGTCACTAAATGATTCCCTTTAACTGATGGGTATTCCTAAAGAAACATCCCTGTTGATCTTCACATTTTGCTGTGAGTTCAAGTGTCCTGCAATATACAGTAAAGCTGTTATTACAAACTTTCCTATACTGGATACTTTACTAATGGCAGGAGTGTGCTCAAATTTATATGATAAATTGTTTTCCAAGAGAGGGTTAAAGTGTGACCAATATAGATAAGGTTACAAACTGAAAAGTGAATATAAAGAAAAATCACTAAGACAGAAGGTAGAAGATAAAAGTCTGGTTTATGCAGTGATATCAGTTACATTTTGCAAAATACAATACTTATATTTTAAGTATAAAATAATAGTACATTTCGGGTCCGAAAGTCTATTCGGTTTCGCACAAAATTTGTTAGTGGTAGTCTGTACACATTTTCTTTTCTGTGGACGAATTTTCGTTGCAGCAAAGTGACAGACAAAAATATTTAAAATGTTTATAGTCTGCAGAAGAGAACAAAAAAAGCGTGAGGTTCTCCCCCATTTGATACAAGACCCTTTAGGTCTGATAGGAATGGTAGGAGGGACCCCCTCAAGTGAAAACAAAAAAAGTGCGTGGGGTTCCCCCCAAAATCCATAACAGGCCCTTTAGGTGGGAATTTTAAGGGGTAACCCCACCCCCAAAATAATTGGGACAAAAACGTGGGGTCCCCCCCTAAAATTCCTACCAGACCCATGAACCGAGCACAGGCCCGGCAGGGCAGGAAAGGGCGGGGGCGATCGAGCCTTACCAGGCCACGTGCCATCGGCATTGGGAGGGTATCCCCATGCTGATGGAGACAATGGCCTATTCCCAACAACCCTGAACCTGTAGTTATGGGGGTCTGTGGGCAGGGGGCTTATTTGCATTGGGGTACCACTTTAATTAAGGGGCACCCAGATGCCGCCCCCCCCCCCTTTTGAATGTGTAAGGGGTACTTGTGCCCCTACTCATTCACTAAATCCTTTAATTGTAAAACAAAGTAAATTTTTGACTATTCCTTTAATTTAAAAAAAATGGCTCCATCGATGTAATCCAGCGTCAATCACGATGCAGGACTCACACCGACCCGCTGAAATACAAAAAAAGTCCCGCTGCACGATGACCTGTCCGAACCCGACTCGCTGCAAAATGTCCTCTCCTGCCCAAATGTAAACATGGGCGGGGCAAGCCGTGACGTCACAGCCAGTTTTTTGGCTTGGTGTTGGGGTCATTTGGGGTCATTTGAAGGAGAAGTATTGGGAGAGTAATATGTACTCTTCCCAATACTTAAAGCCGGCGTGTGACACTGCATCTGTCACATGCCGGCTCTATGGATCGAGAGCTGAGTGATCACAAACTGCTGATTGCTCAACTCACAGTCTTCTCCCTGCAGAGAGCGGTGACTGTCAGTTATCATCCCCCGCAAGGATTCTCCCCTCCACACTCCAGCGCTCATTGGAGGGCCAGACAGGGAAGGGGCCTCTAGAGAGGCAGAGCCAACTGTCAACTCAAGCAGTGGGGTAGATCTCTCAAATATATAGCCTATTAAAATTAAATGCTACATTTTAGTTACAGTAGGGGGAATTTATCAAAACTGGAGCAGACAGAATCTGGAGCAGTTGCCCATGGCAACCAATCAGCTTCTCTCTTCTCTCTTCAGTTTGTTCAGTTAAGATTTGAAAATAAAAGAGAGAAGCTGATTGGTTGTCATGCACAGCTGCTCTAGATATTGTCTGCTCCAGTTTTGATAAATTCCCCTCATTGTCTTTTGTTTTTTTTTGCATTTTTTATATATTTTATTCCATGAGGCATTCTTGAGCACTATTTTACTACTGGATTCAATAGACTTGCCATATACTTGTTGGTAAAGTTGCTCTGTGGGAACAAGACTGAGCATGCCACTATGGATATTTTCTTTGACATGTGGCTGACTGGCTGTAGTGCGCATATCATGACTTTCACAGACCTAGACAGATTAGGGGAAGGAGTTCCAGAGGATATGGGAGGCTCTGGAGAAATCCTGGAGGAGAGCATGGGGGGAGAGGAGGGAGTTAGAGAGCAGGAAGTCGTGGGAGGAGCAAAGAGGATGTGTTGGGTGATGTTTTAAGGTGGTGTAGTTAGGGAAGAGTTGTGGATGGCTTTGTAGGTTGCAGTTACTATTTTAAATTGTATTTGTTGGGTGAGTGGAAGCCAGTGGGGGGATTGGCAGAGAATGGTGGGGGACACTTAGTGGTTGTTCCTGTTACATAGCAGTTACTGGGGTTGGGGCAAAACATACTAAAAAGGTGGGGTTGGTGACAACTGCCAGCTTTTGTCTTTTTATATTACTTTTTTATTTTAAAAAAAGTTGCTGTAACTGTTTATAAAGTCTTAGCGGGAGTTAGTCTTTGCCTCTCACTTAAAGTCCTTAGAAAACTATAGGACCATCTAAAACTACCCTGCTGTGCAATTTCACTGCAGAACAAACACTGTCACCCTTTTACAGGAAGTAGAAAATAGCAGATCTACTGGCAGGATCAACAGGTAATACAACAATGTTACAGGTATACTCAGAAATCCTGAAACTGCTGGGTTTATGTTTGTGACAGACTGCATCATAGATTGTTACTTTTTATTTTGCCCATAGTTACAATTTAACACCAAATCAAAGTTTTTACAAATTCCATGAAAGGTGCAATAGAAATGAATCAATCTTCTCTGCACCAGATTGTTTTGTACAAATTTTTGGGGAACAGTATGGGTTAATTAAATCCAACACAGCTAATGTACTACGGTCATTAAGAATGATTGGTATATTGCTGTAATTTGAGAGGATTCGTAGATATAATAATTGTCTCCCAATTCTGACAAAATCGGTCTGATTGGACAGCAGTCATTATAATGCTACTGTCTAACTTCCTAATTGTTTCCTTCTGTAGTATATACTACTGGCTTGTAAACACAGCACTTCATCATATCATGTTTCTGGTTGTATACCAAAGTTGTGTCATTATGGCATGCACATAAGAAAACATAATGGCAAATAAGATTCACAGTACAATAAAACATTTTAAGATTTTTAGAATTCCAGAATTAGCAGTTTGGGAGGAGGGAAGTCTGGAAGACAAAACCAACCATAAACTGCCTGAATCATTCATCCATTACATGTTCACTGATGACACAGTGCTGATTAGCGTACTTTCTGCAGATCATTTCCAATGTCAGTGGCTGTTAAATTTTGTATGTGTTCAGTAGTACAGCTTAATTGGATCACATCACATGACTGATACAAAAAAGACCCTACCTTCTACTGCTCTATCGCTCAGATGACAAGACCTATTCAGACAGAGCATCTGCACATGAAAAAAAGCGCTAAAAGAGATAAGAGTTTTCCTGGAATGTATTTGCATTTATGCAGCAGGACAAATTGTGAGGAGGTACATTAAATCAGACCTTTACCCAT